CAAGCAGTAACCTAAAAATAGGTAGTGAATCTACCACCTGCGAAAGATTTTGGCAAAACCATGTCAGGTGGCCGAACACGCTCGTACAACTTTTCATTCGGGCTTACTCCAACAACTAAACTTTTCGTGAGTTGGCCGAACAGTCAAAATTGTTTACACTTACCGGATACATTTATTGCCTTATTTTTCTATCTTGGAAATTGCACAAATTGGGGATAATGCGTTACAACAATATCGCGCTACAATATTTTTCAGGTTCGCTCACAGTACCTTACCGTTAATATGTGCTTGCCGTGTTTTTTTGCATTTACTGACAGTTTACTTTAGAATGGCGTCCCGCATTTTTTTCCCATAATAGTAACAGTGACCACAAAGGGAGGCAAAGAACTTGTGAATAAAACTTTGTAAAATTCGATTCATCTTTTCCTAACACACTGGTCCACAGACAATTATTGGGAAAAAACTTCGTAGTATTTGAATCAGTGATGGCATGGATAAGTCTTATGAACAGTTTTAAAGTACTTTATATTTAGTAAACACACAAAAATCTTCAAAAACGGTACCCGAAAAACTGCACGAGGTTTTACCGCAAGCATTTTTTTGCCACTTCTGAGTTCGCTTCCGCTGCGGCAAGCAGATATTCGCCTCTCCACTTCTTTTATAACTTTCGAATCCATAAAAATGCCACTCGCCGGTTCCAGAGAATCTTTCGGAGCGGTCGAGCGCAAAAACTGCCTCAGTTCTAAGAGAAATTAAGTTAGATTCTCAAAAAAAAGTACTGATTTTCTTATGTGCATATGTTCGTGGATAAGTAGTAGCGTGTATAACACTGGACCACAAAAAAGTAAAAGAGTTGGGAACTGAGACGCAGACCCTCGACAAAATTCATGATGTTAATTCACTCATCGCCACCAAACTGACCAGTGTCAGGCATGTGTCCCATTTGCTCTGACCGCCCACGTAAGATTTTTTAATCTTCACAAAATCAAAATGAAAATTTAATGAACGTGGGCTTGAAGATGACCGCCGCTTACACAAGAACCTTTAGAGCTGCCTGTGGTTACAGCACAATCATACACCGATACTGCACATCATTCAACTGGTAATTCGGGACTGTGGCACAGGCCAACACCGAAATCGCCCAGACTTCCTAATTTACACGGAAATTTCAAATCATCCATGCTCTAAATGGTATTTCATGAACTTATAGCAGCATCGTTTAAATATCAGTGGTATCGCATATCGTTTAAATATCAAGGGACTAAATCACTGGCAATTCGCGACTGAACTGCAAGCAGAGCTCGAAAAACAAACAAGATGCTATAAGAGCATATCGCACAAAAATAAGAAAATAGGCCTCTCACCGCCTTGATTATTTAGGTGATGCAAAGTCAGTGGCCAAGGTGCAAAGAGACGGTGTCGACTTGGAAGAACATGACAAATACGTCTGCGATGGCTGGGAAAGTAAATATGAGCAATGGTACAGACTACAATAAAGGAGCGACTGTTACCTCATTGTCCATAGCATAGCTATCTTTAAACTGCTTAAAAGGAAGAAGTATGCCCAATATGTTAGCACCACTGTGCCTACATTAGCGACATGCAGTATGGTCACTGGACTGCGATAAAGAAAAGCAGAGGCGAAAAGAATTTTTGACGTTTCCGCTCGTGACGTGACCGTAGAAGCAGTCAGATTCTATCAGATAAGAGGCGTGGCAATGCAAGAACCCCAGAAAGTACAAACCCATGAATAGGGCGTACTGCTCGCCTTGATGACATACAGCGAAAGTCGCACAACGCTGACAGTAGCTGCGAAAAAGACAGCTTACAGTCGTCGTACATGCGCTCGATTGCAACTGGAGGTAGAGAGTTTAGGGCCAGAACTATGTACGAGTTAGAACCTGGAGTTCACAGATCAGAACGCAGAGATGCCCGGACTGCGGAAAAATTATAGCTCAAACCAACTGTCCGGACAAACTTGACAATATGTAGCAGATGCAGTGACAGTAGACAGTGTAATTATAAACAATACAACATTTTTGAAAAGTATTATGCCTTGTGCTGCACCACGCATTATTAAAGTTAGGCTAATTAATAAAAAAAAATCGAAAAAGCTTCCTCAAACTATTCTTAGCCAGTAAACAGTCAAAGCTAGACCTCTCCCAGTGAAGACAAAATGGTTATTTGCGTTGAAAGCTAATCAAAACAAAACACTAAAAAGTGAAATTTTTTTTGCAAGGTTTTGTCCGTCACCGTCAAAACCTTGCAAAGAAAGTTTCACTTTGAGGTGATATATATGTTCGTTTACTTTGAGTTATATGTACGTTTCCACATACTGACATGCTCTTCTAGTTACTTTTACGAGAACTTTACTGACAAGGCACAAAGCGATCCATGGACTGATTAGGTCTTGCACCGAAAAACAGGAAATGAGGGAGAGCAGTGAATAAAAAAGAGAAAGGAACTGAACAACGTCCCATCCAAGGCAAAAAGCGAAACAACAACAAGAAATAAGGACTTAAATACCAACAACGAACCTTCAAATCTCGCTCCTTGTTGTGCTTCATTAAGATTAGGAAACAATTGATTCAAACGTATATATGCCATAAAATCTTCCACTTTTTCGAGGTACTTGAATACTTCCGAAAACCTATAAATAATTGAGTTTCGAATCGGACCACAAACTTCACCCTCTAACTATAACAAAATAGTTTTAGAAGAGCCTACTTATTTTTGTAACTGCGAATTAAGCCGAGTGCTCTCTCCGAATATATCCAAAATCCTTCCGGAGAACGCCGTGTGAAATCCGGTATCTGAAAGGGAGAGCATTCATGAGACAGTGAGACAAAAAACAAAACTTGCTGTGACATTTTGCTACTTCGAAAACAGATTAGATTGTTGTTTCAGTCCAAATGCAAGTGTAAGCGAGATATAAAGGTAAAACAGACGATTTGCTCCCTTTTCGAGAATTTCAACTCCAGTCCAATATTGACTTTGTTCACCGGACGATTTCTGGAAGACTCTGCGGACGGATCATCCAACGAAACGAATACGCAACCAGTAATTCGGCTCACAACATCAGCAGTGACTGCAATATTCAGCAGATTTTGACTGAATAGTGGATAACAGTGACATTACTCAGTGGGTACTCATTTCACAGGGGATTAGTTATTGGTTTGGAACTGATAAAATGGGAGTGTAAAGAGCCCAAAACAGCAGCAAACATGGTCTCAGCTCTGAAAGCACATTTGGCGGGAGAGGGGGGGGGGGATAGAAAGGGAGGAGAGGGAAGTGGAACCTATGAGTCCTCTACAAATATGCAACGCAGATGGTGTGGAATTACTGTAAAATATTCGGAGTAAGCAGAATGTGTTTGAAAATATTCGACGATCTCCCAGCCATCCCAAAAGACTGCCAAAACTGATTTGCCAGTTGCAAAACTAGTCTGAAGCTGATAATTTTTTGCCCATTCGATGGCAGGCCTGAAAAGGCAACTGAAACTTACTGTGTAAAAATCTTGCTATATCATGGGCACTGTACCATTTCAGTGCATAGTTATCATAATTAACCAAGATGTCGTAGAAGCTCGCATCAGCGGTTGACGGAAGTTTACATGAAACAGTCAGTGTGCCTGCAAATTCAGCGAATGGCATAAAAACTAATGATTTAACATAACTGTTACAATAAAATAGCACATTTTTAATTACGCTGTAGACATCAACTTCACAAATTAAAAATATGTAGAAACCTTTGGTCTCTAAATCGTTCTGCGTGATTGTCGCAGCGAAGCCATAATACCTGCTTTCTGCGGAGGAGATAAAAACGTTAGCATTGAGTGGGAATGCATCTAGCACCGAACAAGAATCATCCGAGTCCTCCAGAACATCCTGCAACGATTCAGCTCAAAATACAAAGAAAAGCCAGCACTCATTTCCACCTAAACAGTGCAAAAGACAAGAATAATTGCAATTCTGGAAATGCTGTAATTAAACACCAGGAAATTTCTTTTGTTTCACACTGAAGTCGCAAACTTAGCGAACTGACCTCTATTGTCAAAATGATGGCTATACATATTTTTCCCACTAATTCTTCTTCCGTTTAAAACGGCTACGTGCTTTAACTAAACCCACAGCAGCTGGAGGTTTTTATGATAAACATACGTCGACTAGGAAAAATATATTTAGGGCGCTTCATCATCTGCACAAAGTCTCTTTAAAGTTTCAATTCTCAGCGAAATACTTCCAAATGCGCTTGGGAAAATTTTCACGCCTCTGCCACTTCTTATTTTTATCAGCTAATCAAACGCAGTAATTTAGTCTGTGTTCGACCCGAAGAATGAGTTTCTGATAATTCCGGCCTAAAATACATTCATTCTTTGATCGCGATACAACGTTGTGCTTCACTAGCCCTCTCAGAATTGACGAAAGGCAAACGCAAACGTTCGCACGCTCATTGAAAAGTCGGAAATACTTGTGTGAAAGCTTTTGTCAAATAATGAAGAATGGCATAAAAAATTGGAAATTGCTGGCTTATTTGGCTCCCACTTTTGAGATTAACTGCTGTATTTGACGACTGGCACTAAGGCCAATCTGAGGCATGTAAAAGCACAAATTCTTAATCATAAGCAATTTTCTGACTATATCTACACAGGTAAAAAAGGAAACCGAGAAAAGAGGACAATTAGTGTTATCCCAGTGACTATGCATCCAACTTGTCGTTTTCAGCCTCATGATTCCTGCACCGTTAAATTAGGCACGAAAGGGGAGAAAAAATGAGGCAAGAAGTTTGACCATGATTCAAATCTCGTTCTGTAGCAAAAAGGAAGGACAAGAAGTGATACATCAAACACTTCACAGCTGTTACTCGTTGAAATAAGACTAACAGCTTTAGTTTGCGGGGAATAAAGAGTAAAGGCATAAAACATCCTCACTTGTACAAGAAGAGGAAGCGATACTGGAATCAATCCAGTAGACTCTGTATAATAACGCTTAGTGCGCATGCAGTTGTCCTCAAAAAACCGGCGTGAACCTCGTGCAACCCGAACCAAAGCAAGGCACTGGTTCTCAGCAACTTTGACACCCCTCCTTTCATACTCGCTGCAAAATTAGTAACATGAGCTAAATCAAACAATGCACATACAAGGATGATTATCACTAAGTCATGGCTTCGTTGTCCGCAAAAACTAAATTTTTTTGTGTTAAAGCGCTGCAACTTTATAGAAACAAAATAATTGGCCAACGCACGGGCTACCCGTGCGAAGATGCGTTTTTTGCACAGTTCCCCGCAATAACGGCATTTTTATCAATAACGGCACTGTTCTTTCCTGACAGATGCATCTAGCTAAAAGAATTTCAGACTGGCCGCCAGGATTGTCAGGAAACATCCCTTCAAAA